GACCTTGAGCTTGCCAGGCAGAAACTGCACCACTGAACTAAATCCCTGGCCCAACATCCTTGTCTTGTTCCTGAGTTTAGAGTGAATCAGTTTGTCCACTTAAAATGTTGGCTGTTGCTTTGTTATGCATGGTTTTTACCAGATTGAGATAAGATTTCTATGACAATTTTTGTACTTTTTTTTTTTTAAATGAGTGGACGTTGAACTTGTGAAGTACCTTTCCTGCATCTATTGAAATGATCATGTTTTTTGCCCTTTGCTGTTAATATGGTATATTAACATTTAAGGCCCAATCTCACTGATAAATATAGATGCAAAAATCTTCAATAAAACACTGAAGATTACACACTGTGACGAAGTAGGGTTATCCCAGGGATACAGACATGGTTCAACATATGGAAATCCAATGAACTTTTTACATCTTCCTTTTCTCCCTCTCGTGGGAACAGCGGCGTAGCAGTAGCTACATGTATGCAAATATTATTCTAAGAACATATTCAACAAGTATTTCCTGGGGCTGGTGAGATGGCTCAGTGGTCTAGGGCACCTACTTGGAACAAGCTTGGTAAACCACGGGGACCGCAGTTCGGTCCCCCAGCACCACATGCCAGTCCGCCCCGCCCCCTGGTGGGCTGGGCTGGTCACACACACACACACACACACACACACACACACACACACACAATAAATAAATGTAAAAAAAAAAAAAACAAAAAAAACAAATATTTCCTAATGTTGCCCAGCCTGTTAGGACCACAGCAGTGAACAATGTACAGAGATCGTTTTGTGATCATCCAGCCTGCAAACACAGGATCTTTTCAATATCTGATGAAAACTAGTCCTGCATTAGCAAGGCTCTCATGTAGACTACTGATGGTTTGTGTCACAAAGCTGCCTTGCTGTAAAACACTGGATAGTTTTCCTACCTCCCTTTACTTCCATTCATTTATTTATGCTCCTTTTTAATTGCCCATTTTCCTTTTCCCAGTAATTTCCCTGTTCCCAAGTTATCACCACCTACTTCCTAAATTTTATTTATTTTTTAAATTTTTTTTTAATTTATTTGTGTGTGGCCAGCTCAGCCAACCAGGGGATGGGGCTGGCTGGCATGTGGTGCTGGGGGATTGAACCGTGGTCCCTGTTCTTTGCTAAGCTTGTTCTAAGTAGGTGCTTTAGACCACTGAGCCATCTCACCAGCCCAACCACCTACTTCTTAAGCCAAAGGATTTCCTTATAATTTTTTTTACCTATGTATCTGAAATGCAAACATTGGTCATTTTTTTTTTTTTTTTTTGTAGCCTGTCTTTCCCCGCTTTCCCCTTCCTGGAATAGGAAGTTTATCTTTCAGGACTGGGGCTTAGGGGTCGGGGAGATAGCTCAGTAGAATAAGCGCTTGCCTGGCAAGGGCAAGGGTCTGAATTCAAATCCCTGGTTCTGCAAAAAAAAAAAAAAAACCACTTATGACCAACATACTGCTAACATCATACATATTGCAAGGGAAAAAAAAAAAAAAAAAAAAAAAAAAAGGACTGGGGCTTGAATCCAAGACCTTTCTGTCCAATCATATCAGCTGAATGGAGCTCACCTTATTTGTCACAGTGCTGGGCTCTGCCCTGGGTCAGTAGTGGGGAGCCAATGGCATGTGTGCTGCAGAGGCCTACTTCCCACTGAGATGTATCTCCAGCTTTTATTTTCAGACAGGGTCTTAAAAACACAAACTCAAACTCACTGGGTAGGGGCTAGGGAGATGGCTCAGTGGAATAAGCGCTTCCCTGGCAAGTGGAGGGGCCTGAGTCCACCAAAAAAAAAAAAAGAAAAGAAGAAAATATGAGGCCTGCCCAAACTCACTGGGTATGAAGGTACATGCTTGTAATCCCAGTACTTGGGAGGCTGAGGTAGGAGGATCAAAGTCACCCATCTGAGTTCAAGGTCAGCTGAACTACTACTATAAAACAGGCAGTCTTGGTAAGTTTATAACTTACCCAGGGTGTGTGAACTTGTGATCTTCCTGCCTCAGTCTTCTAAGTGCCAGGATTAGTTATGTATCACAATAACCAACTCCCCAACATTTTCATGTTTTATTAGTACTCTTCCAGATCCTGAAGTTTATGTATCCTCTACTTCATGGGTCATATACATTGTGAAACACTACTTACCTCTCCATTATTCTTTCCTTCATGAACCATCCACAGATAAAGGATATCAACTAATTAGTGGGCAGTTTCTTTTTTACAGGATGAATAAATTGTCAATTAAGTAATCTCCTTAAAGCCAAAGACTGTAGTAACTGTTTAATGACCTTTAATTTTTACTGTCCTGAACTGGAGGGACAGTCACAAGGAGTAAAATCAGCCCAAATGACATCTCTTCTTCTCTAGTAAGGGGCACATGGCTAAATTTAACAGGCTATCAGTGGAGGTAACTAAAATCAAAACATTTGTTAATCACCCTGTACGTTTGTATATGAATTAAATTCTTCTCTTTTTCCTCTGGTTTTGGAACTCATTTATTTTCAGACAGGGTCTTCGCCACTTAGCACAGGTTGGCCTGTTGAACCCTATGTCTTCCTAATGTTGTTCAACCAGCTATGTTAAATACCATTCCATGTCCCCTTGCTGATAATTAGTAATTTGCAACTCAGCAAAAGAATTTTAACAATATACCTTCTGCCAAATGTGAGTGATCAGTAAAGACACGTTAATACAAAATATTAATAACCAAACTGGAAATGAGAGGTCCTGCTGTTTTCAGAACTATCATCTACATAGCTCTCATGTTCCCTATTTTTTATGTATATCATCTTTTGGTCCCAATCCTGCAACTCATATAATTGCCATTATGTAAACAAGTCTTATTACCTGTCTACATCTGACATTAATGCTTTATCAAATTGGGCTTTCTGTCCGATCATATCAGCTGAATGGAACTCACTGCTGGGCTTTGCCCTGGGTCAGTAGTGGGGAGTCGATGGCATGTGTGCTGCAGATGCCTACTGGTTATCAGAGATCCAGCTCCTCCCTCAGCCTTCTAACCCTAATTTCTTTACCTAAAATACTTAAGGCTTGGGGGCCTGGGCCTAGCTCAGTCCTTTAAATGGCTGCTTCCACAAAGCTGTCAGCCTCAGGTGGCTGGAGTTCGAACCTCACAACTCTCCCGCTGGCCAAACGTGCCCTGAAGGCATGAGAGGAACAAAAACAAAACAAAACAAAACAAAACAAAACAAAACAAAACAAAACAAAACAAAACAAAACTTAAGGCTTAAATTTAAACCCTGTAAGTAATAATATTCTGATCCCAGGTATAGCACCGTAAGACCAGACCACATTTTTGGCTCGATTTAGCTAACTTTAAATTGTAAGTGATTCTGTACCAAGCAGTACTGCCTGTTCTGTAATATATAATTATGTACCTACAGAGTAGAACATCTTAACTAAAAAAAGTTGTAACTTTTTAATAAATTAATAAAAGTTCAGTAACATCATCATTCTTTAATTTCTTGTGTTTTAGACTTTAAGACTGCAAAGAAAAACACATCATGGGATTATTTGAAGTATGAACAGATTACCAATCAGCTTTTTAATTTTTCAGTTTTCAGCCAAAAAAGTTTAATGTAATGTTGGCTGCTTATTTAATATATGTATTCATTTTTCCACCAAACTATTTATTGATATCAACAATGGCACTGTAATGTTTTTTATTGCTCATAAATTAAGTATATAATTTCTAACCCTTACCAGTTATAAAATGGTCAAATTCTTTTTTGAAAAAATCAAAATTTGTATACCTCATTGAAACATTATAATTTTAAAATTGCCACATGGAATATATACTGGTTATAAAAAAGTTCAACTCAGCTCTCCAAAATATTCTGAAGCCCTTTCACAAACTTGAGCTAGGAACTATTTCTCACTATCTGTGATTTTAGTTAATACTAAATGAAGTAAATGGTAAGAATGTTTGACAATGAAGGATAAATTGGCTTGAAATCTAAGTTACTATAAATCATTCAGTACATACATTTAAAAATATTTTACATGGCCTGTTTAGCACTGAAATAGTAAAATCAACAGCATACTTTGACATAGGGTTAGTAAATCTCTCAGGATAAAAATTTTCTTTTTAAAAATAATCTTTCAGGTAATGTGCAAGCAGTCTTATGCAGAAATGGAAAAGGATTTTGTCTCACCAAAGAACATACTACAGAAAACACTAGTGAAAGAAAGAAGGCTACTTCAGAATGGAGCACTAATTTCTTCAAATGAACCGTATGGGCTCTTAGAAGGGCACACTAAAACAAGAGGACTTGGATTTCATGGAGATCTCAAACTAAAACGATATATTATTCCAGCACCTGAAACTATTTCTGTCCCTATAGATGACTTACGTTAATTCCTTATCTTAGCTACTAATGGACTTTGGGAAGTTATGGATAAAGAGGAAGTCATAGCACTGACAATAACACTGTTTCAGATTTATAAGGAAACACAGCTCTATCACACAAAACAAATCACCACACATGCAGCCTCTGTATCTTTCAATCAGTGACACAAGCATTACTGAATCAGAAAATAATATTCACGTACTATTTCAAAATAATCCCAAATCTAAAGAGTATGTGTCAACTATAAATTTAAAGTAAATACTGTCTGATTCAAAATATTCTGAACATTATGTTTACGACTCTAAAAATATAGAGACATTTCCACTACCAATGACTAATCATGAACCTTACAGAGAAAAGGAAACTGACAGACCAACCAGTGCAGACAATGCACAAACAAGCGAAAACTCACCATATGCTAAGAATTTCTTTGAACGTGCAGCTGAGTATATTAGCCATGAACTTGTAAATGCTGCTCTGGAGGCTGGTTCCCGAGACAAAGTTACAGTTATGGTAATATTTCTTAATGGAAGTGAGTATCAGTTGCTGATATAAAAAATTAAGTTCCAAAGAACCAAAGTTTATTGCCACAAAGACAGCTCCTCAATGAACTCAGTGTCAGGATGGCACATCAATACCATGGGAAGTAATTTCTCAGATCATAGTAAAGAAAGTATAAATGCAGATTTGAGGTTATGTATGCTCACTGTTTTGTGTCAAAAAAGAAAAAAAAAACACTATTTGCTTTTTTACCACTTTATTCCAACCTGAGCACCTCAATATAAAACTAAACACTGGTGAACTGTTTTCTCTGCTAACTGTGAATTACTGTAAAATGTACAAGAGGTCTGCTAAGAGTTTGACGCTTAAATAGATTGAATCATCTGACACATGGTAGATTTCATATAATGAAAATACCTAAAAATTAGTGCAATATACGGAACTCATCAAAATAAAGAGGACTTTGAAAAACAAGGCTGCAAGATTGTTACTAACATTGTAATATTTATGTTACAAATTACAGATACATTGTTTATTATGGTTCTAGCCATGTAG